TCACTTCTCACTCTCTTGTATATGTAGAAGTCATATTGTAGCAACTGCCGACACAATGGTCTTGTTAATACCAGCCCTTACCATGGCAGAGCTTACAAGGAGTCATAAAATGCAAAATCATTGATAAGCTCATAAAATGCATTTAATTGTTGTAGCAATGGGATAGAGGAGGCACTGGAGGAATCGTCTCATGAACCCGAGCCAGAATTGGAATCTGAAACAAAAACTGAGGACCTGAAAGCTGAAGTAGAAGAAAAGACCCTTGAGGAGCTAGAAGAGAAGTCTCCATCTCCACCTCCTGTAGAACCTGTTTCACTACCACAAGAACCACCAAAGGTTAGTTCAAGGTCATATCTGTATTTCTAGGTGCAGATGGTAAACCAGATGTGCTTTTGAACTTAGCCTTTTTGAGCAGCCAAACTAGTACCTTTCTTTAGTGCCATGCTGTATGCACAGCTAGGCCTGAACCTTCAACTTGTAAAATGTGAGGTTTCACCAAAACAGGAAAAAATGTTAATTTTAAGTGCTGCTCATCACTTACTGTAAATTTTACGCTCTGCCTATAAAGTGTGTGTGTGTGGTTTTATGCATGTGTAGACATTTTTAAATGTGAAGTTAACATATGTTAAGAAAACACCTGGAGCTATGAGCACCAAAAATCTCATACCATGGGAACCACTGCTCTTCCTTGGAGAAAAACATAACACATTGATGCTTGCACAGCTGCTGGCAGGATAGGTTCAGAATCAGTCTGGGGGCACTGACTGTCTCCCTCAAAGGTGGGATGCCTGATCTTAAAAACCACAGCCCACACTGTGTGTCATCTGCTGTGCTTACACCTGAGTGGTGTGCAAGTGATGGGAGGAACTGGGGAAAGCTGGAGCCAGGTCATTTTCTAGCTCCAGCATGTCTCCCATGTGGTTTTTTTCGACCCTTTTTCTCTTTTCTGTTTTTGCTTGTAAATTCTGGCATCCATTTGCTTTCTTCATGCAGAAGACACTTAACACTACAGGTTTTGAGTCCTAGGTTTGCTTACATCATGGAGAGCAGTGATCTGGGAATGCTGAGGGCACTGGGCTCACTCAAGTAGCGACAGTGGGCTTGGTACATTCTTGCTCCACGCTGCTGGAGTCCACAGACAGCTAGAACTGCACATCCTTCTGTGTCTGCATTGTAATGCTTGAACAACAGTTACTTAATAGTCAGATCTGAACCAAAAGTGTGTTTTCAGCAGACGAGTTTCCCTGTAGGAATGTCAGTGGTTTGCCATGATTAGTAGCCTAGGTTTGTTGCATTTCCTGCAGGCTTTCTCTTGGGCTTCAGTGACCAGTAAAAACCTGCCTCCTAGTGGTACTGTTTCTTCCTCTGGAATTCCACCCCATGTTAAAGCACCAGTCTCACAGGTAACCCATCTGTGAACACTTGGATTGTCTCATTACTTCTGCAAACTGCTTCAGTTTTTTAAATTAACAGATCGACTTGTTTGACTTAAATTGCACAAATTAATCATGTCTTAAATGTGAATGCACTCACCTCCTTGTCACAAGCCAAGGCACGTGCACATAACAGGTGTAGCTTTGGGTGATGGTGATGTTCAAATCTGTTCATGTGCAAACAGGAAATCGCTACTGAATTGTTCTTTTGCCTGTCTTAGTGGGATGTGGCTTGGTTTACAGGGGGAAACAACCAAAACAGCGATTCCCCACAAAATGTTAGTTTTCTGAAGTGTGTTTGAAAAGGGCACTCGTGCAAGTGCCCCAGCAGTAAAGAGGGCAGCACCATTTCCAAGGTGCCTCGCTGCCTTGTAAGGCTAATATCTGCAGAAACATGCTGGATTTCATTATCCAGGGACAAGCAGCTTGTCATAGAACCCTGTACCAACTTATGACTGTGTGAGGAATGGAAGGATTCACATTTCCTTGCCAGGACAATGCTATCTTCCCATTCCTAGGCTGACTGGGTGAGGAGGGGAGAGAGGAAAGAAGGTTTGACCAGGTGATAGCTCATGTCCTGCACATACCACGGTGGTGTGAGACAGTCCGAGACTCAATTCAGCTTCCTCCATCTGTATAAAAGTCCTCAAAATAGAACATGTGTCCTTTAACCTCTACTGCTGGCACTGTGTACCAGAGCACTGTATGTTGAGTTGCTTGTGTCCAGCCTTTTTAAAAGACTTCAGTTTTCAGTGAGCAGTTGGGTTACTGCAGTTGTTGGTTTTGCACTGGTTTCTTCTCAATTTTTTACTGACATGGAGGAACCTGTCTAGGATTAGACTTCAGCCAAATGCATATTGAAAAAAAGAAAAAAAAGCCATGAGAAAACAACCAAACCAACCCCAACGCCTTGTATTCTGGTATTGCTTCTGGTCTGCTGGGACTGTGGTGGATACAAGATAATGGCTAGGGAATGAGTTGGGAAGCTTGTCTGTCCACATCAGCTCAAACAGGGCTTTGAGCATTTAGGTGGTATTTAACCTGTCAGAACTGTAAGGTTTCTAGTACAGAATGGATTTTCCTTATGCAAACCAAAATTAGGTTTAATTTTTTTGCTATAGAGGCAGTGGATTTTTGTAATGTGACTGCAAAAACCATTTCAAATTATTGTACAAAAGAGCAGAAGAGAACTTAGAGATGTGCCCTCAAACTGTTGTGCGTTGCCTCTGCAGCTTGTCGTGCTTTGTGCTTTTTATGTTACTTTTGCCGTGACTTTGTGTTTAAGTAATTCTCTGTAGAAGTTTCTGAACAATACTGATGTGGCAGGAATTTCAACTCTCAGCTCTTCTGCTGCCAGAATTAGTCAGTTCTGAGCTCCTCTTCCTGCACATGTTTCAGACATGCTATGCAAAAAGCTGGTAGAAAAGGCATCTGAACAAGGAGCTGCAAATCATTAGCAGCTTTTTCCTGTTCTCGTGAAGCCATTAGTGCCCGGCACTGCGTGTGTTCACATCCTTGTTCAAGGAGCAGATGCACTGGTGTGTGGGTGACTCCTTTGGGATGCTGTTCTGCCTGGTTTCAAGCATGTTACAAACCAGCTGTTAACTGCCCTGCTCATTCCTTTCTCTGTGTCACTCCAGTTTTTCCCCCTTTGCTATCAGGTTCAAAATGGAGCCTCTGTAGTGTTCACTCAGACCTCCTCAAAGGCTTGCACATGGACTGTTCTAGATATAAACCAGTTCAGTTCTGTTTATTTACAGCTGTGGAGTGAAACAGGTCAGCATTTCTTGCTCTTTATCTAGTTGTCAGCCTGCCTGCGTTTATAACTGGGGCTGTCTCTTCATAGCATCTTCAGGTATTTTTGATCTCCCTCTTTCATTAACACATTGGCTGTCGTAGGCAGGCAGGGTGCTCCCCAATTCCTCTGGCTTGGAAGTAGTGAGTTTGGGGAAAGATCTGTTTATAGACACTGCATTCCCTCACCACTTTAAATTTGTTTGGACTCTGGGCAGTCTCTTCTATGGTCTGTAGTGGCTTTGGGGAAGGGATGGCTGTGTGCCGCGCCTGCCTCTGAGACAGTATGAGGACTCTTTGAGTACATGTCTAACCTAGCTACTGCAGTTCTGATGAGAGATGGGGCTTCTTTCTTTTGTTTCATGTGAGCTGTGGTTTCTTCTTTGCTTGGTTAGTTGGTTCTGTACATACTTGCCTTTTGATTGTGGCAGGCATCTCACTCTAGAGAAAATTCTAAGCCTCACAAGATCTCAAAAAAGAATTGTGCCAGCCTTTGGAGCCACCTCTTCTCTCGCTTTTTCTGTCCCATCGGCCACTCTTTCAGGGGTATGTTAAGTTCCAGAGGTGGTGAGTGAAGGTTGACTGGTGGCTGGTTTTGCTGTCATGGCCAGTAGCACTGCTGTGGCAGCAGGAGGTCCCTTTGCCTCCCCACGTGAGCTCCTGAAGAGAGAGACAATGTGACCTTTCCCTTAGTTGTTAGCAAAACTCCATCAAGCCGAGGTTTGGGGCATGCTTGGCTCCTTCAGTAGTTGTCTGCTGAAATCCTTACTCAGTGCCTTTCAGTCCACTCCGTGTGCTTTCTGAGGAATGCTGGGAGATGGGAGTTGCAGTTAGCTGCTGCCTGGGCTGTAAATAGTAGCCCTGGTGAGGCATGTTGGGGTGCTGCTAATAGTGGCAGTGTTTTGGGGGAGCACAGTTTTGCACTAGTGCTTTCTGCTTGAGGCAGCCCCAGAGAGCACAGAGTCAAGTTTTCCTCTGTAGAAGGGGTTGGTACTGATTAGAAAACAGCTAATGAGATGAGCTGTTTGTGTGCTAGATGAAGCTCACTGAAGTGCAAAACAAGCAGGTACAAGTTAACTTTTACTCAGGGTTTAACAGAAGGGCAGCTGTGACTTAGCAGGTCTTGATCAGGGTTGGCAGAAGGACTGAGTGTTTAATTCTCATAACCATATGTATCTAAGAAATGGGGTCTCAATGTATTCAGTTTTGCTTTTGAGGTATAATTCATAATGACCTAAAGATGTGTGAGTGAGAGATGGCAGAGGAGCTCCAGTGGCCCATGAGGAGATGTAATGGAATGAGATTTAACAGGAAGGTTAAAAAAGTGATCCTAGAAGCATTGTAAGGACAAGCTAATGCCTTGCTGCATAGAGCAGGAGTGACAGGAGGGGTGAAACACCTGTGTCATACCTGCTCGCTTCATGCAAAATCCCATCATTTCCCCCTGTGACATATTCCCTGGCTGGAACTTCCAGTTGTCTTGAGTCCTTCAAGGAAAATAAGGGAGATGTTTACTATAAAGTACTTCTCCCCAGCAGTCTGAGCCTATAGCTGTTGTCTGTGTTTAATCTTACTTGGAGGCTGGTGGTGCTTTTTTATGCTCCCAAGGATAATTTGTTTTCCTAAGATAAGGACCCAGTGTCCCAGCAGCTGCTGAACTGTTGTGCAGAAAATGGAATGCAAAAAAATCTGGGAATTGCTTTGGTACCCGGCAGGCTGCAGAGAAATACTTTTTATTGTTCTGTCTCTTTTTTTCTAAAAGCATTTTTTGCTTGCAAAAAAATAGAATGGGTGTTCCAGTACCGGAGAATATGAGGGCATCATGGTCTAGACATGAGGAAAACTGCAGAGTATCCTCAGCAGGTAGAAACTGTCATTTCAGGTGGCTTTATTGTATCAGAAATACTTCTGAGGGCTTTTGTTTTGTTCTCCTCTTTCTTTTTGGTAGTTTTCTTGTAGTTGTTTTGCACTGGAGGAAAAGAATCCCTCAGAGACTTGTACAGAAAACGTGATTTGCCCATCTCTGTGTTCCTCTTGGACTGGCTCCTAACTTGTGTAGTTTGAGTTTGGCATGAGGAAACTTTATGTCCCCCCTGGGGATTTAAATCAGGTTGAGGGACTTGTGAGTAACGGAGCATTGGGGTCTCAGTGCCTGGTCAAACATGGAAAATTCACCTTAGCCATGTTTTGGCGAGATGCTCTGATTGGGAGATGTTTGTTTTACACCCTCTAACAGAGATAACTGAACACTGCAGTCCTGGATTGGTACAGAGGAATTGATAGAGGTGGAAAAAACATATTCCCAAACACTTTGACGTGGATGTCTGTCTTCTGGAGTTGGTTTTCTGCATGCCACTTCTCTGTGTCTTGTGTTGTGGGGTTTTTGTTCTGCTAAGTTTGGGGGTTTGGAGTTTTTTTTACTGAGTCAATGTTAAACAATGCATGTTCTCCTGTTTTAGCCAAGAGTGGAAACTAAACCTGAAGCTCAGTCTCAACCTCCTCGTGTTCGGGAACAACGTCCCAGGGAAAGACCAGGTTTTCCACCTCGAGGACCTCGACCAGGTAACATGGGTCAGCCTGTTTGTCTGTCTGGACTAGTTAATGAGAGGTGTCTCCTGGACAGGCCTTGTCTGTACCTGTGTTGTGTTTGGCTGATAATGGACCCTCTGTTCCTGCTGCCATCAACTAGGAATGAGGGAATGTGCTTTGGAGTCCAAGCTGATTTGAGTGAACAAGTTTGGTGCTGTTTGTACATGTGTTCGTACGACTCTGCACACATCTTCTAACCTCCGCGGTTCCACCTTCTTCTGTCTGTTGGCCGTAGGGAGAGGGGACATGGAACAGAATGAGTCGGATAATCGTCGGATAATTCGTTATCCGGACAGCCACCAGCTCTTTGTTGGGAATTTGCCCCACGATATCGATGAGAGTGAGCTGAAGGAGTTCTTCATGAGTAAGTAGTGATTCCAGCTGTGAAGACTAAGAGAAAAACTGTTCTGAAGTCTCATAATGTTCACTTAAGGCCACACAGGAAACTTTTACATGGTGCGGCACTACAGATGTTGTCTGGAACAAGTGGAGGGGTGGGAGAGCTAGTACTGTGGGTTCTGATAAAGTGGCTCTTCCCTTGTGTTTTCCCAGGCTTTGGAAATGTGGTAGAACTTCGCATAAATACTAAAGGAGTGGGAGGAAAACTGCCTAACTTTGGTTTTGTGGTATTTGATGATTCTGAGCCTGTCCAGCGAATTTTAGTTGCAAAAGTAAGTATTGGCATTGAGTACTGAGTATCCCCTTGCAGGGATGGAGCAAACACCCTAAACCCCAAGTAATGTGGGTATCCTAGTTTACACTGCTGTTGTTTCTGGCATTCAAAACACAGCTGTAAGAGAAACACTGCCATTCTGTCAGGAGGGCTGTGTAGCTTGCACAAGCTGTGCCAGTGTTCCTCAAACATCATCCTATGGAGTTTGGGTTTTTTTACCTCTATCCATGGACGCCATACAGAGCTCCGTGCTTACTCTTAGAGATCCTTTTAAGCTGAACATGGAGCAGATAACATTTCCAAGGGCTTCACATGGATCTGTGAGTTCTGCACCCTGGGACTGGGAGAAGGGTTATTGCAGCTTTGACTCGAGGAACTGGAGAGGAGAAAGCAGCAGTTTTCATTTCTGCAAAGTGGGAGTGACACCTGGTAGAACAGTTCTTCAGGAACCTTAACCCTGAAATGAAGAGGCTAAAGACAACCCTGCTGTTACTTGAGACAGACACCTTGCATGCCGAGTGAACATAAACATGCCATTCCTTTACTCTAGACCTCTAGGGCTAAGTTGTGTGCTGCAGGGAGCCCTTCATCGGTAACGTTTGTCTTGGTCATGCAAGTAAAGGTAGGCTGAGGTGAGCAGCCAGTGCAGAGTTGTCATGTGCCTTGTGTAATTGGACTTTGTGACATGGTGACTAACATGTGCCTTGAACCCTTTTCCCCATAAGCCCATTATGTTCCGGGGTGAGGTGCGCTTGAACGTAGAAGAGAAAAAAACAAGAGCCGCTCGTGAGAGAGAGACCCGAGGCGGAGGCGACGATCGTAGGGATATTCGTCGCAATGATAGAGGCCCTGGGGGTCCCCGTGGAATAGTGGGTGGTGGCATGATGCGAGACCGGGACGGAAGAGGACCTCCTCCCAGAGGTGGCATGGCACAGAAACTCGGCTCCGGACGAGGCACCGGGCAGATGGAAGGCCGTTTCACGGGACAGCGTCGCTGAGACCACCACTGTGGGCAGACAGTCTTGGCAGCGGTACATTATCCATCGTGTTTGCATTCTTGTTAATTTTTTTTGGCTTTGGAATGTGACACAGCCCTTCTGATAATTTCTTTGATGTGAAAGCATCCTTTGGTTTCCAGTTTAAATTGAGGTGGACGTTCTTTCCCCAGTTTCACAACAGGAGTCACACTGTTAATTTATAAATGTAGACTTGGAGAATTGAGGACTATAAAAAAGGAAAAGAAAAAAAATAAGCAAAGAAAACCAGAGTGGTTACCTATCTGCAACAAGAGTGAACTAAAGGACATACCCAGTAGAATTCAGGTCCTTTAAGTCCAAAACCCTCTGCTGCACATTTTGTGTGTTACCGTTTCTGCCTCTTACTGTTGGAGACACAAATAGTGCAATCTGTGCAATTGGAGAAGCTTGCCTTTTTGTTTCCTCCTTAGAACACTCGGCTCCAAACAAACTTGTGTTTACGCACTCATCAAAATGCACTAATGGGTCCTCTGAACTCATTTATACTGACAGCTGCAGGAGGCATCGGAGGGAAATCCTTCATCCTCTCACTCAGACAGAATAGCTTGGGGAACGATGCGGGCATCTGATCTGCTTGCTGTGACCAACCTCTGTACACACACAAACCTTAATAAGACTACACCTTTGTTCCAGAAGGAATCCATTTAGCTGTAAACTAACCAGAACCTAGAGTTTCAAAGTTGTAGCCCTGAGTGCGCAACAAGTTTGATAGCTCACGTCAGATTTTTCTATCTGCCCCTCTTCAGTGCAGGGATGGCTGCTCAACACACTCCTCCTCCCCCCTTCCCCTTCCAGAAGCGTTGTACAGTGAAACTTGTCTTGACTGTATTTGAGTTCTCTGGTAATGTAATAAGCATGATGGTGCCTTCTATGAATACATCATTCCAGTCTTGCTGGTGATTTTGTACAGTACCATGTATGAATTACTGTGCTGTGAAGCCACGCGGCTGCAAAGCATTTCAAGGAAATCAATGAGAAATTGTATTTAAAAATTGCAGTATCTTTCAATCAGTAAACGTTGCTAAAACGATCACCCACCTTGCTCTTCAATTAACAAGTTCGCCTGTTGTTTTGCAGAGGGGGGGAAGGGAGGAAGAAGGCATCCGAGTAGTCTCCAGGTTGTCTCCTCTCCTTAATCAGTGTCAAAGGTAAAGAAACGGAGTTGCAATCTGTCTTGGACATGAATTTGAGAAGTCAATCCCGAACGGTGGACGCCATTGGTCAGCTGGGAATGGGTAGAACTGAGCATCCTTTGGGAAGGTGAGCTAATCAGACGAGGATACTGCAATTTTCAGAGAACTAAACAGCAGCTCTTAAGTTTTTGCATTTTCCAGTTGCACTTTTTTAAGAGCTTGTATTCATTTTGCACATGACTCTCAGCTGAAGTTGACACTGAAGTGGCTCTGGACCGAATGATAGAAAGGAGACATCCTCTTTTGCAGTTTAACTGGTGGGATTTCCAGTGGAGAGATCTGTTTCTGGATGGTGTTCTGGAACACATCCCCAGAATGGAAACGGAGCTGCAGCAGCCAGTAGAGTTGGGCTGGGTGCCGGGTGGGCGCCCGGCTCCGAGGGGTCAGGAGCAAAGGGATGTTGGTATGCAGAACTGTGACCACTGAAAGCTGCTGCTGACCACGGAAGACCTCAAAAAAAAAAAAAAAAAAAGTGATTCCACGCAAAAGCAGAGAGGGCTTCAATAGCAATCTGTCTCTGGATTATGCAATCATTGCTGGTTTGAGTGAGCTGCAAGATTTTGCACATATTTTTCTGATACGCTAGACAAGGTGAAGTGGCATCTGTGTGTTCTCTCCCAGGCTTGAGGTCTGTGTTCCATGGTAAGTCTTGCACTATTTCCATGCGCTTTTTTTCCCCTTGGGACACATTTCTGCCAGTTTGCTTTTTCATATTTCAGTTTTTGTTAAGGTCTTGCAATTTCAGCTGTTACCTGGAAATGTGTAGTACTTGAACTGCTCACCACACAACTCCTCTCCTTAGGCCTGCAGCCCTTGGGCAAGTTGCAGTTAGCAGTTTGCCACCAGTGTGGTTTGTGAGGCCTGGGGATTTTTTTCCTTCTGTAGTGCTGTGATGTTTTGCTGCCACCTAATTCATTTGTATGGCAAATGGCACTGGGAATAACCAACAACAAAACCGGAGTAGTACAAGAGCTCCTGAGCCATTCTGCTTCTTGGCTTGCTTCTTGTTTAAGTGACACGAACAACCCTTGGAACGTCATCCAGAGAAGTTTACATGGTGATAGCTCACCTGCTGTACTGTGGACTCTTACGTGTTCTCAACCCTCTCGCTAGTAACTGTACCTCTTAGAGCAAAGGAAGGGATTCACTGACCATTACTGTTAGTTGCTGATTTGTGAATGGTGGGAGTACTTTGTCATTATGGTTCTATTGCAACAAACTTGGCTGACCATCTTGGCTTTAGTAGGTATTCAAGACAGTGGATTACCATCTTTATTGCTGTAACGTGTCAAGCATTATATGCTAGTAGATTCTAGTTTAATTGTTGCAGGTGGAAAGTATTTTTACTTTTAAGTTTCCATTCTGAATGTGTTTTGACTAAACGTACCAATAAACTACTGATGTCTGCAGCATTTACCATGTCCCTAATTCTCTTGCATGCAGGTGGCTGTAGAACACTGTCACCCCTCACCTACAGACAGCTTGTTTGAGAACGTGGCTGCCGGCGTGGCCCTTGGGAAGCCACAGTAGTGCAGCATCTTGTGCTTTGAGGTGTTTGACTGTGGTGGCTTCTCTCACCTCGGGGTCTGTATGGTCCAGGGAGGGCATGAGCTCCTCTCAGACATCTCCCAGCTGGGATTCCTCCATGTCCTGCTGGGCTGTGGTATCTGGCTTCAGGGGTCAGCTTCAGTGGATGTGATGGTGCTGGAAGGAAGGTGAGCCAAGTTGTCTTAAAAAAACCACATTGGAATTGCTTGCTCTTCACTTTAGCATCACTTATGGTGCAGAGGTGATTGTCCCTGTTTTTCCACTTCTTGTGTTTGGAAGCAGTTACCCAAGAAGGTTGGTAAAAGGGTTGTTCTTGCACTGCTCATAGATAAGGTGTGGCTGAGTCATGGAATCTGTGGAGCTTTTCTGCTCTGGGTGAAGTTCCTGGTGTAGCTGCTGTCTGTTGTGTCTTGGATCTAATGGTTCCTGGTAAATGGCAGTTGGGAAGCATCTGAAAAGTTGCGCAATTACATGAGTTGAAGTACTGGAATGGAAAACCAGGATCCTGTAGAAGTCCTGAAGCCCAAGTCACCAAAAAGTCGGAGGAGCAGCATTGACAGCTACAGGATCTGCTGGCACCAAAGATCCCTGGAGAAACACAATGCCCTGGCTCCCAGAGCTGGGCGCTGCGGCATTCAGACCTTGGGGCCTTGGTTTGGGAGGTAAATCGTGCAAACTCGTGTTATCTGGGGCTGGGGGAGGCAGGAGATGATGCTGGGGCAGCTGAGGGTTGTCGCAAGGCAGTGCGTGCTGTGGAGGCCATGCCTGTTCCCTGGGTGGTGCCCACACTCGAGTGCCCACAGACTGCAGTGGTTTTGCAGAGGCCTTTGCAGGACAGTGATTACTGGGGGTTTGCACTTCATGTGGAGAAACGCAGCTTGGAAAAGTGCATTTATTGAATGTGATGCGAGAAGACAGCAGATTGCCTGGTAATTTTTGGCAAAGCCCTGGGTGGCTGTGGTTACAGTTTGGCTTCTCACAAGGGGAAGAAAATCAATGTCCCTTTGCTGGTGCTCTGACAGGTGTTCCCTGGGCCTCAGCTGAAAGGAGACATCTGTGATGCCGCACTTGCTGTTCCCTCTGGTGGGTGGGAACAGCAGGAAGTGCAGTGTCTGTGTGAGGGGGAACAGTTGGAAGTGCAGTGTGTGTGAGGTTAAATCAAGAGGTACCAGGTACCCATGGGTGCCCCTGCCCACAATGGCCCTGTTGAGCCCTGCAGCCCTCACAGCCAGCAAGTGCTGCAGTGCAGCTACACCAGTGCTGCTCTGGGCCATGTGTGGTCACCACAGGTGTCCTGATGGGCCAAGTATGCAAACTTGGAGCTGTGGTGTCACCTCTTGATCACTGTGACCTGCCAGCAGCTGGTATGGAGCAGGTGTGCTCTGCCTGGAGAGCACATGAAGGGGGTGAGGGGTGTTTGGGTGTCTGTTTGGGACACAGAAAATAGGTGATGGTTTGGATGATCAGGACTGAGTCCCCTCTCTGGCTCAGGTCCTCAGCAGGGCAAAGAGACAAAAGGCTGTTGGGACA